TGTGAAGACCAAAGAGACAATTTTTAACTTGTGTCGAGTACAGCTGGATCAAATGTAAATCCCGTGATTAAACGGCTCATGACACTGGCAGAACGGTCACAGTCGATTCAGGCTTTTCAGCACCAATCCCCGGCAGCGCTTTGGAAGCACAGAAACGCTATCAGGGAATATCAAGAGTGGGTGGCCTATCGGGCAGCAACAGCGCAGCTCTATTTGTACCATCCAGGAACGTGCGTATCCAGTGCATGCTGCATGCTCCCGCAATGCCAAACTACCAAGGAGACGCTGGATCACTTTTTGTGGGACTGCATACTAGCACAGGCGAGTTGATCAATAATTCAATCGATGTGGACTGGGGAGAGAATCACACTGGACCAGTACCAGCGATATTGCGTGGCGCAACAGATCTTACTTACTACGTCGGAGACGATAAAGCAATACGTGCTGCTCAGCGAAGAGGATGTGATCACTGAAATGGAACAAACGTGAAGCGGGATTTGGTCGGTTATGTGTAAATGTTGTTTAACACAGCTATGGCTGCAGATTAACGACACAGTCCACAATGGAGCCGAGTTGACTGTGGAAGAAGCGGTGGCCAAACTTCGCTTGTCTGTGATGCGTCATTCAACGGCGCTCGCCACGCGCAAAAGGCGCCAGCTGCATACAAAACTGCGAGGGGCGCGGTTCCTACTCTGTATCGAGCAGCTTGCCCGGCCTCCGCGAGAGTAAACCCAATCAGAGAGGGGTTTAAAGCAGTCCTGGAGCCTTATAGGACTACCGGCGCTGCTACAACGGCTCACGATATTCCAGAGATCTTGGTCGTAAACTTTATTATATACTACCTCTGGTCCGAAAAGATGGATAGATTTATTTAAATGTAATTAAAAACCAATTCAGCAATTCTTATCAAAATCTGATTAGTCCAGCAGGAGCGCGTATTCGCCAGCTATTGGCAGGTCGTTTAATTGGCGCTGAAAGCGAGCTGGGGTCGAGCTACAACTATTTGAATAGCCGGCCACCCTCTTCCTCATTTTTCTAGTACCCGCTCAGCTACCACTACGCTCTATCAGTACTCCCCGACTTTCTTTGGTCAACCTGACCGATTGCCATCGCCGCTGCATCATCGACGAGCTTCTAAGACTCAGTATTGACGGAGATCTACGTCATAGAGCAAAGGCGGACGTCTCAAGAGACTTTAAGTGCAGTCCGTCCACTATAGCAAAATCTGGACCCGCTATTGCATCAGCGTCACCCCAGGG